AGTTAGGTTATGATAACTACATGTTATACAACCCAGATGTAACTTGAGAAGCAACGGTGACATTACATTATGGAGCAGTAATGGTGATTATGTCTCACCAGAAGCAAAACAAATATTATTTCAAGATGAAGTGGTAGCTTACTTGGAAGATTAAGATAGGAGGTTTGCCTCGAGTTCAGGACCCACCTGAACTACCTAAGTTCCAATCTACCCTAACTCAGTCTCTCTCTCTCTCTCCCTCTCCCTCTCTCTCTTGCGCGCGCGTGCGCACACACACACACACACACACACACACACACACACACACACACACACACACACAGTTGTTCAGTCCTTTGTATTGAAAACTGAAAGTAGTACACAGGCTTGTAGAAATTCCTGGATACGATCCAGTAGTAAAGATACCACAGAAACTGAAAGAGACACGCACAATTCCTGTCCTGCCTTGCTTCAGCATTGGCCCTGGATACATGATTATATCATATGAAATCATCATCACATTCCATGCTTTTCCTTGTATGTTTGATGACCTTGACGCTTGTTACTAGTTTCTGGTCGCTGCAAAACAAACCATCCAAACTTGGTGGTTTAAAAGGTGCCCACTTATTGTCCCTGGGTTCTTGGTGCAAGGATTCAGGCCTGGCTTGGTGAGATCATCTCCTCAGCCTCACAGCGCTGGAATTGGGGGGTTCTTTCTCATCCAAAGACTCAGCCAGGGAAGGGTGTGCTTCCAAGCTCCTTTAGGTTATTGTGACGTTCATTCCTCTAGGCTGCAGGCTTCATGGTAGATTGCTTCTTCAAATCCTACAAGAGAGTCCATTTTTATTGTGCCACATTTAGACAAATCAATAAGAACCCTTCAGAAAATGAACGATTTCATGCCCATTAGGATGACTAGTCTAAATATTAAGAAATATATGACTCTTTGGCAATGAACATGTGTAAGTAAAGATGAATGGAGTAAAGGGTAGACTGTATGACTCGACAGCCCACACTACAGCTTCCAGGACAAGACTCTTCTATTTTTTTTTTTTTGGTTGGTTGGTTGGTTTTTGCTTTTAGTTTTTCTTTTAAATTTGATTTTTTTTTTTGCGGGGGTGGGGGGATGAAGTTGTAAGGGCAAATGCAAGGAGACAGGGAGGTAAGTAGCATTGGAATGCATGATGTGAAATTCACAAAGAACCAATAAAAATAAAAATAAATAAATACATAAATAGATAGATAAATAAAAAGATTAAGAAATATAAAAGTGCTGGATAGTTTTAGGTCCACTTGACATAAGCTAAAGTCATCTGAAAGGAGGCAACCTCAATTAAGAAAATGCCTCTATCAGATGGAGCTGTAGACAAGCCCCTGTAGGGCATTATCTTAATTAGTGATTGATGGGGGAGGGCCTCCTCCATTTTATGTAGTGCCATCCCTGGGCTGGTGGTCCTGGGTTCTATAAGAAAGCAGGCTGAGCAAGACATGATGAGTAAGCCAGTAAGCAGCTCCCCTCCATGGCCTCTGCATCAGCTCCTGCCTCCTGGTTCCTGCCCTGTTTGAGTTCCTGTCCTGACTTCCTTCAATGATGAACAACAATGTGGAAGTGTAAGCCAAATAAACCCTTTCCTCCCCGACTTGCTTTGGTCATGGTGTTTCAGTCTAGCAATAGAAACCCCAACTAGGACAATAAATAAGACGTAGAAAATGATTGCTGGTGGAGATATCAAGTGATTAGAACTCCTGGATACTGCTGGTGTGAATGGAAACTGTGAGACCATTATGGAGCACTGGTGGTTGCTTCAAATATTAAATACACATCATGTTCCCATAATTCTGCTTCTGGATCTCCTCCCCCAAAGACTGAAAGCAGAGATTTAAACAGGAGTGTGTGTGTGTGTGTGTGTGTGTGTGTGTGTGTGTGTGTGTGTGTGTGTGTGTTCATAGCAGCAGTATTTTTAATAGCCAGAGGTGGAAACAAACTGTGTCAATCAATGGATGAATAGATCAACAAATCATGGTATTTACACATAGTGGAGTTATTATTCAGTATTAAGAATGAAGGAAATTCTGAGCCATGGTTACAGCATGAACCTTTAAGATTCTACATAAAGTACACAGAGTAGTAAAAAATCATAGACAGAAAACAGAACAGTGAGTTCCAGGGGCACAGGAGGGGGACAAACAGGATGGATTTACTGTTTGGCGGATAGAGTTTCAGTTGCGATATATAAATGTTCTGGTGCTGGTTGCTGATCTGTGTGTCTTAGTTCCCATTCCTGCTGCTGTTCTAAAATGCCCTGACAAACTCAGTTTAAGGGAGGGGAAGCTGGTCTTAGCTCACAGTTCAAGGGACACATCTGTCCTGGTGGCAGGAGCTTGAAGTGACTGGTCATACTGTATCCACTGTCAGGGAGCAGAACAATGAATATTAGTGCTCAGTTCAACTTCTCCTTTTCACTCAGTCCAAGATTCGGACTCTAGTACGATGTCTCCCCTAGTGAGGGTGGGCCTTTCTCCTCACTTAATCCAATCTAGATGAGCCCACCTAGACACGCCCAGAGGCCCATCTGATCTTGGTAATCTCCGACAAACAGGCCCCAGTCTCCTCGGTAATTCTCATCCCTTGAGGTTGGCAATCAGTCGTAGCCATCACACCATTTGAATGCACTTAATGCCACGAACCTGAGCATTTAAAAACAGCTACAGTGGTCAATTTTACCCCAATAAAAGCATTAGAAAGGAAGGATAGGCAGAGGAAAAGGTGAGGATCACCAAATGGTGAATGAAAAGAGGAAGTACGCTTGTTAAGCAAAGAAATGACCTTTAAAATGGTGACGTGCCTGCCATATTTCAGTCAAAGGGAGTAATAAATATTCCCTGGTTGTCACACAAAGTCTGACATGTTATTCTCTGCAAAATGTCTTTCACTTCTATACTTACCCCTCACCTTCCCTGGAACAAAAATGAAACCAGTCATATACATATATACATATATACATATATATATATATATATATACATATACATATATAAATTTAAAATTTTTATTATTATTTTCTTATTGGTTTTTTGAGACAGAGTTTCTCTGTATAACAGCTCTGGCTATCCTGCAACTTGCTCTGTAGACCAGGCCTCCCTCAAACTCACAGAGGTCCACTGCCTCCCAAGTGATGGGATTAAAGGCATGAGCCACCACCACCCAGCCCAGTTACATTTTTTATTTCAGAGTTTCACACCAGATAAATTTTAAGCCATCCCCCAGGACTCTGTTTTGGCACATTAGTAAAACCTTCTTTGCCTTGGGGTCTAGGTCTGGGCTCCATTATAAGGAGATGGCAGAATTCCGATAAATACAATTCTAGGATGTTTGGTAGGATTTTTTTGTTTTGTTTTAGTTTGCCTGCAAAGATTGATGAGGTGATTTCCACCAGTGGTCCAAGAGTTTGAGGTATCAGGATTGGAAAACCTGAGCCTTAATATTCCGTGTTATTTTAACAGAGCCCCTCACATTCCTGTTTCTGTAAGTCATGTGAACATACATACACCTGCTTTATTATCTCTTTATTATGTCATCTTTTCCACGGGTCATTGTTATCTTTGGGCAATGTATTAAAGGCAATCAGGGTAAAGTCTTCTTGGTGACAAGGAAATGTGTCTAACAACACAGTTATTGTTTATATAGTCAAACACTATGGGCCAGCCCTTCTACGAAGCGTGTTTCTGTTATTTCCGTGAATCCTCACACCCTTCTGAGATACATTGCCTTATTATATTAACCTCCCCTTTAACAGGTAAGAAATTTGAGTCTCAGAATTCTGACAAGATACCCCAAATCACACAGCTGGTGTGAGAGGTAGAAGGGGGACTCAGACCCAAATCTCTCCAACCCCAAGGTTTTAATCCCCCCCCCCCCCGCCCCATGTTGTATTGCCTATAGGGATTTTCTATTTCTATAGGAATAGAAAAAAGTAGTCACATTTATCTCAAGTCAAAAATGACTTATAACGAGAAAATTTGCACATTGCTTTTCTACAGATATCTGACTAATAATCATGGCTTCTCAAATTTCATGTTACTTCAGGGTCTTTTTTTTTTTTTCCTTAAGTCTAAACTTCTTAGCCCCAGCAAACAAACTGTTGTGCATTCAGGACAGGGCACTTCCTGTCCTGTGTCAAAAGTGCAGATCTGGCCCCCGATAAGATGTACTATTTGGAGACTTTTTATTGTGAGTCAGGTGCAAATAACAGGAAAGCAGCCCCCCTGCCCCCCTGCGCCCCGTCTTGGCAAAAGAGCAGGTATTTCTAAAAAAGAATGCTGCTGCACAGAACTGTGATTTAATGGGCATTTTTCTGCATTGTGAATGGGGAGAAGGCAGATTATAGCGTGGAATTCAAAGCAGTCACAGTGCCTACTGACTTCCACAGACAGGCCTAGCCAGGGACTTTCCCCAAACTTGGAGCCACCGTCTGGGCTTCAGACACAGTTGCTGTTCTCGCTGCCCAAGAAAGTGAAAAACTGTCGAGCCACGGGCTCTCGGAGGGGCAGCCAGGCGACCGGCAGTGGGGAGGGAATCACTTTACAAGGCCTGTGTTCCCGTCTTTGCACAGAGAGGAAGAAAATAGGCTGAACTTGACTTTTTCATCCTCATACAGCTCAGCAAATAATACTCTGCACGGAATGTGTCTTCTAAAGGGTGACATGTAAAGAAAATTTTCATGCGTCCTACTCGTCTAAGAAAAACGCAACGCTGAATTTTTAAGTTGAAATAACCTTCACTTTTCCAAAAATGATTGTGGAAATGGTAACAAATAAATTTGAATATGAAAGAGAAAAGCACTCTTGTGGGTGTACACACACACACACACACACACACACACACACACACACACACACACACACGCACACACACACACACACACACACTGTCACGCACACATGCATACGTGAGCACATGAACATGCATTTTCATTCTCCCAACCCCCTGCTAAACTACATCCTGCTTCTTCTGTTTGCAGAGCCCACACTTGCTTTAACCGCCTGGATCTTCCTCCATACCCTTCCTTTTCCATGCTCTACGAGAAGCTCTTGACAGCGGTTGAAGAGACCAGTACCTTTGGCCTGGAGTGACCCGGGAGCGTGATGCTCAGCTCTTCGGGGACAGGCAGTGTCAGAAGCCGGCCTTCAGAAGAGTGGCAGAGCACTGGAAATCCCAAGCCTAGGGTTCCATTAGAACAAACTTGAGTGCTGCTCTTCGGAACACGTGCTTGTTGGTGTGTTTGGGGACTGGCTGTGAGTCCTCTGGCAAGGATTGGGGTGAGCTCGGTGCCCATGGAACAACCCAACAGTCTTTCGGTCAACAGTTCCTGACTGCCAAACCTTTCCCATTTGTTATGTTTGAAGATAAAGGGGAACCCGCACATGATCAACTCCATGGTGACTTTTAGGGCCTTGGGAGAATCTTGACACTCTCCTGTACACATACTTCAAGCCAAACTGGCAGCCCTTGACCCCATTTCTAAATTAGTGCAAGTGAGAGAATAACATAAAAAATTATCTATTTCCTGACAGTACCTTTGTTTAAGCCCTAAGTTATAACAGAATATTCATTTCTTGCTTACGAGTGCCTGCATGGAGTGCACTATAGGTTTCATCATTCACGGGACAAGGGTGAAAATGAAACCAAGTCAGTATGAGGTAACTTTAAAGATTTGCAATAAGGTGGTCTGTAACAATGTATATGCAAGTGGTGTGTGTGTACTTCTGGCTGAAGACAAGCTGTTATTCAATGAATTCACTAATGACAGATTTTATGCTTTATAATGCATGAAAACAATTTTAAAATAACTAGCAATTAATCACAGCATATCAGGAAAATGTACACAGTGAGTTCTGTTTATTTTTTATAGGTTCATTATGTTTCTGTTCTTGAAAATGTATATAAGGACCTACCTACCATGTTGTACGTACCACCTCTCCATTTTCATGTTCCATGCTTACTCGGGCATCTTGCTAGTACGTATCCTTTGAAGCACGCTCAAGGGAACTAAAAGGGCCTTTTATTTTTATAAAGGTTAAAACAATTCCCCAGAATATTTTGCACTGAACGTACCAAAGTCGAAGGGACATTACAGTGTGACTAACAGCCGCGCCGTCACTTGAGGGGTACAACAGAAGCAGCTTCTAAATCAGACTTCCTTCACAGTACCGTGTCAGCCACTGCAAGGACTGTGCATCTAAGTAATAATTTTTTAAGACTCACAATATGTGATAATATGATGTGCATTTATTTCAAATGCATTAGATTCTCTTCCATCCATCAAATACTTTACAGGATGGCATTTATTACAGATATTTCATATTCCCCCCACTGCTTTTTATTTGTACAGCATCATCGAACACTCAAGCTTGGTTAGGGAGCCATTGGCAGTGCCGGAGAGATCAGCTCTCTTAGGAGTAAGAATTCCACTTTCCCTCATCGGTGAAGATACCATGGATTGAAACTCTCAGTACTATATTTCTAAGTCTGCATTTTCACGGATGCATAATTTTTCTTATTAATATCAGGAAAAAATTTTTCTATGGTCTCTCAGAAACTGCATGACATCCCCGACAAGACTTCTTAATTTGATGAAAGGATTTCCTTCATTTTAATTGCTTGGGGGACTGTCCCATGCCATTGTTTGTTCCTTGATTTGTGACATAACTAATCAGACACACAATACTTTGAAGTGGAATTGAGGGTGGGAAAACCATTGGATTAACATTCAGTTTGCCTGTCTGGGGGGTTACAGGCGTTACCTGAACATTGCTTTGAGAATCTTGTTTGTAGGTGTCATGGGCTTCCTGTTGTGGGATGGGGGTGACTTTACATTTCATGGGGCTCCGTGCACAGTCTGCCGAGGTGTTTTGTAAGAACAGTCACTCTCCTGCTAGTTAAGCTGTGTTTACTGTTGGGACCCTCAAGAGGAATGGCATCTTATGTTGTGTTACTGTGTTAAAGATAAGTACTGGATGTGGGAAAATGTTCCAGGAGAAAAAAAATGATAGGAACCTGGAGAAGATATATAGAATATTTATTTGTATACCATAATTGGGCCAGAAAAAAAGATCGACTAAAACTTTTTGACTGGAATTATTAGTTTGTACTTATTTGTCATGAATACAAGTATATATTTAATTTTTGCAAACTTCTTTTTCTTGTTTGTGTTTTTTCATCATAAGGAAAACAGCACATTAACATACTTTTAAAATCACACTTTGATGCATCAGAGCAGTCCCTAATGGCTGTCACAGGGGCTAGTTAAGAGAAAGCTGCCTTTCTTTCGGAAATACATTGACAGACCGTGTTAATGTTCATTTGGTTTAAGAAGCTTCGCCACCCACAGAATGCCACATTGCTAGCAGAAGATATGTGAAACAAATTGTACCTCTTTATTTCTAATTAATGTTACTAATGCTATTGTTGTTGACACCAGGGCAGCCAACTTCTCGAATAACCATTTTGAATGTACTCAGGCATTCTTAAAGTAGTACAATTTAGTCCAGTCGGCACTGTCCTGAGAATTGGGAATTATCAAAATTGTAGCTAGCATATCAGAAAACCAGATAACCTATCTGTTATTCTTCATGGGTAAAACAAAAAGCACACAATAATAGCTCTATAAAAGTTAAACAACATAGCCACAGAATAAATTAGATGCTATTGTACTCCACAATCAGAAGTATTCATAAATATGTTCTTCTGGACTGTGAACCCCACTACTTGGCCCTTTGGTTTTGTTTTAAGAAATTTGTAAGTGATGCTACTAACCCTGTAAAAGACAGTTTTGATACCCCATGTATGAGTACCGTCTTTCAGAGCGCAGGCACACCGTTGGCATTCTCTCCCTGCCAGTCACTTCGTTTGATGATGGAGCTACAAGATTCTGAATCTGGCCTTCAGAAAGACACTTATAGTTGACTAGAGGGGGCATTAAGTGTCCAAAACAATTTTAAATAAAAGACAAAGTTCTACAGTTAATGAAGAGAGACTATCCTATTCCACTCCAGAGGCTTGGTTACAGCTTCATGTGTGTGAAACTGTGTAGCTAAAAGATATCGTCATATATGTGCTATTTCTCTTGGTAACTACAAGGGTGTCATAGAATATTAATGCTGGTAAGTCTTGAGACCCAAAATGCACTCATAACAATGAGGATTTAAAGTCTGTAGGTGGGGGCTGAGCTGTGAAGGAACAAGTCAAGGATCTTCAAATTATCAAAGAAATGCCAAAATGAAGTCTGAAGATTTCCTCCAGTCCCTGCGCTACACATACGTCCCATTTTCAGTGTGAAATATCACAGTTCCTGAGCCCAAACTACATGTGGGATCACAACATTTTTTCTTGTGTACAAAATGAATGGAAGTCACAGTTTTCTATTATATGTTGTATTTATACCTCAACTGTGTCAAAAAGACACAGTTGAAGTAGAGAAGGAATACATTTTGCAAAATCAAAGTTCATCTCCTCCAGACATTCTCATTAAATTAAACTCTAGTTTTCATGACTGAGATCTGTTCACAGCCACCATGATGAAAAGGCCCTGAAGCTGGTGACTGTAGGTATGTTTGCACAGTGCTGAGGTGTTTCACAGTGCCTTTGAGTGCATTCTCTTTTGGTCCCAGTGCTTGCTTAGGGAGAAGTATCAAGCTTCCTCTGGGATCAGCCTGGTTTCATGAGTCACTGGTGAGATGGGTCTTCCTACTTTGTTGTTATGATCCTGGTTTCATCTCAAGAAATAGGAAGGCTAATGTTTGTACTCATGTACTCGACGTTCAGATGCTTTACTTTCCCAAACTCTCACTTTCTTAAACACACTTCAAATGTGGCACTCCTGCAAAGACCCCAGAGAAAGGAGTGTGTTCATGGAAAAGGCTCTTGACAGATGCAGGCTTTATATTTACTGCCTGTGGAAGGAACTGAAGGCAAATCTGATTGTGTCTGGTGGCTTTGTGCAGCACGGGAGTTTGGCTTCCTTGGGATAATGTAGAAGCAAGAGAAAAGGTACCAACCAGAGGCCTGACTTCCATTATTAATTTTTGATAAACCCGAGTCTTCAGAGGCCTGGCTGCTGAATCCCAGTGACATGGAGGAAGGGACCACCCATAGTTCTGTTTTTGCTCCTGTCTTCCTGATATTGGTTCAAATGACTTTTTTTCTACTTTTTTGCACAAAGCTACTTCTAATAAGGAACATAATTTATAATGAGGAGTCTAGAATTTTATTCAATTTAACTTCATTCAGGAAATTTCAGGCACAGGCAATGAGGCCATTTTATCGTTAAAAGGCATCACTAACCCCACATCAGAAGCAAGGTGCAGTTGAAGGATACAGCCTAACCCCCTGGCTACAGTTGCGATTCAGGTCAGCTGTTGATGAGTGGCATCCTCAATCAGCCATCCTACTTCCGTGTGACTTGACTTTAAATGAATGGGAATGTCCCTTGGCAGCAAATTCTAATCCGAAGAATTTATTGCCTTTGTAGTTAGTTCTGTTGCATTTCCAGATAGTTCGTCTGGCACAGAAGCAAAGGAATGCCAGAGACAGTAGAGGTTTCTGAGCTGTCACTTAAGGTCAACCACTACCATTAACAGGGCGATTAAAGATAAAAAGTAGAGAAGAGAGGGCTGGAGGCTCTACCACCCTACTGATCTACTTCTGACTGCCGTCAAGATTCAGAAGTAACAACTGCATTCCAAGGAACCGGCATTATGGATACAATGAATGTGTTTGGCTCTGTCAGAGCCATCAAGGTTAGGAATGAAGACACATTGAAGATCATAGAATAGCCATGGGAACAATGAGACAATGGCACAAACATCATCAGACTCAGAGCATGCTAGCGGGGGTAGGAATGTGTTCCATTTTGATTTCTGAGTTTGGAGAACAATGCTTTCATGTTTAGTGAAGGCACTGATTGGCCATCTACCTGGTGGGAAATACCCTTGTTGTATGATTTCAGTGGGCTAGTATTTCCTGTATTGCAAAATGTCATTTAGTCCCAAAGTATTAAGGCTAACCATAGCTTTATCAGGAAGTTCAACAGTTCGCATTAAATTATTACAGTTTTGTTTTAACTCGAAAGTTATTGTTAGTACTATCGGACACTATCTGTGAAAGAAAAAGTGCTTTTATTTAGTTACGCTTAATTTGTTTTTACAGCATACGTTCACATAACTCTTGAGACGTTCTCATTCTCAAAGCAGCTATCTAATGTTGAGTTAAACATTCCCTATTAATCTGGGAAGCAAAATCCTAAGTGTGAGGTTACTGAATTGCAAAAGGAGACCTAATGAGTGTTTCCTGTTGAAGAAGTTAATCAAGACAGCAGATACATTTGCTTCGATTTTGATGTTCAAGGTACTTTATTCAGATTTCATGACTGAATAGCTCAACAGAACAGGATGGCTCTAGCTGTATATGATTTTTATGTCTGGTGGCCTTGGGCAGGTGATATCTTCAAATACAATTTTCTTTTAAGATATTACAACCCTGAGGAGTGTTGATAGGTTTGTTGTATGATTCAAACTGAATCAGCTATTACTGGTGTGGGTAAGAAATCATCAGTAAATTCTGGTAATTATCACCTTCTGTAAAAAAAGGGATGGGTAATGTTCAAGAAACACCTTGGAAGGGTGAACCAGGAAACACACAGAACAGAATGTTCTGTTAGGACCTTAATGCCCTAAGATATATAATTACAGCTTATTTTTCTTTATGTAATATCATAAGTAAAATATGGGGGCTGTTAGCACATTGGAAAGTGCGTAAGATTACATGTTTTTATAACAGGGATGCAGGCATTCCAAAATAAATGAATAAAAATACATGCATCTCTCTTGCCTCTTACTGAAAGTATTAATCTAATTTTATAATAATGCTCACTTTTTAATATCAAGGCTCTGTAAAAAATGTTTTATTTCTAAGATTTCAGTAGAGCACAGGTGGTGTATTTTTTAAGCCTTTCCTCTCCACCAACTCCACTCATTACATCCACTATACCATAGACCACAGTGAATAGTTACATTTCTGCTTTGTTGAGTGGATTTAAGCTTTGTATTTATTCAGTGTAACTTTTAATAGAGAATAATAATGGGAGGTATTTGATATTAGAATTAAGATTATACAGCCCTCATTTTACCTTCCATTTACATTTTTTAAAGGCACATAATAAAGGTTGTTGGTAGCCACCCTAGAAATGGTTCGTGAGTGGCATTACGTGAGGCATAGGACTGAACTGTGGACCAATTGTTCATTTTCTGGGAAGTCTGTATTCTTATCCTCCCCTGGGCCCCCCAACTCTTGTGTTGTATTTTTTATGATTATGAAATGCTTTGACAGAAAGATATTTTAATGTGTACAATTTGTTTTATTTTCATACTGATCTCTATTTTTGTTTAAAACCATGTTACATCATGAAATCACTTAATCAAAAATAAATCTTCTTTTAAAAAATGAA